TCGACCCCATAGGCCTTAAAATAACAGAGATAACCCTCAAATCGTCTCATTATGAATCAACCCCCGTTTATCCAATGTCCACTAGCATTATGGAAATGTATAGATTTGCCTCCTACATAGCTCTCCTTTCTTAAGTTTTCTTGAATTTCATTCCACAAATAATCCTTTACATGGCACGGCACCCATTATTGAAAAGCAAGGGTTGAATTTAATGTAGTAAAGTGTCCATCTCAGTAAATAATATAATTTACTGTCTATCTATCTATCTCTTGTGTCTAGTTTATTCAGTTCCTTTTTAGAACAAATTGTTCACATTGCACCCAGTATTGAGAAGCAAAGAATTCATTCTTTGCAAATAAAGTCCATCCCAGTGAATGGTGTAGTTTTTAGTTGAGCCTGATTAATTTGTCCATATTATATCTCTCTTCTTCAGTTCACATAATTTCTTCTGATTTCATTTTAGAACTTTCTTCACATTGCATCCAGTTGAGTCCCGGTAATAAATTTCATGCGATTAAGTCTATCGCAGTAAATGGTAAAATTTAAACAGAGAAGTTGAGGTTTATCACTCATTAAACTCAAATATTTAACTGAAGTATGTTTGAACACTGCTAATAACTGATTTGATGAGTTTGTATTGTTCTGGTCACGGCCATATGGCACAATACGTGTGGTTTTGCTCTATGCAAGACAATGGAGAAACCCGAATTCTCGCCGCACTGGCGCTAATTGCATACCGGTTCCGCGCTTTTATTAGTTCTCATCAGTGCAATATAAGCACCTAAAAGGTTTACGGTTTACAGAAGATTCCAATGATAAGATAGGTATAAACTTATTATAGAGTGAGGCTGCATTTCTTCGGAGGCTTAGGCCCTACGTACATAAATCGACTTTAAAAAAAACTAAACTTATCATTAGAAACTTGAATTACCAACTATGAATCGCATACGACGTATTAAAAAATCAAGTCACCTCTAGATTATGACAGGTTTGTTGTACTTGAATTATAGAGTAAAAATCAAATGAGAAGAAGCCATTGACGTCAGCGCTGACAAAGCAGGCAGATTTCCTTTTCTCTGTGGACTTTTACTGCCTAGGCAGTAAAAATACACCTTTTAAGCCCGTCAGGTTTCATTAAAAAGTCACTTTTACTGTCATTCGGAGAAAAAGTTTTTTCTAGTAGGATGCACATTTTTTTGATACTGATACAGGGCGAATAAAAAAAATCCGTTTTTAACATCGAAATTCTCCACTATTTTTAATGGAACACCCTGTATATCAAAACGTCAAAAAAAAAGAAACATGTTCAAGGCATCCATATACCAATAGACATCGTCCCTACAAGTTGAAGTTTTAGCCGTAAAAAATCAAAATCGAAATCTTGGTATTTTTGCAAACGCATGCAACTACATACTTTATGCTGTAGGTAGATACTTGATTCACTGTGGCAAACAATTTTGTAACTGTCTAGTTAAATATCAATTAAGTTAAAATAAATTTTCCAAGAAAATTTCCGCTGGCAGTTTTTTTTGTTTTTAAGGTTTTTTCATCTGTAATATTTTCTATTTCTTAGGTCAATAAACGTTATGATTATTATTATTATTATTATTATTATTATTATTATTATTATTATTATTACTATCATTATTATTTATGATTTCAAATATTTCAGATCCCCTGACCTTACCCTCGCAGATTTTTTTTTTATAAGGAACAATAAAAAATGAAGTACTTATACGATACACCATCGGCTACACGATACGAACTGGAGAATAAAGTCTGGGTGTCAGTAAATAGGATTAGACACTCCAATACAATTGACAAATGTGGTTCAATCAACTGTTGAAAGAGTACAGCTTTGCCAACAGCTCATTTCGAACATCTGATTCTCTATTCGGCCTAATCAAGTAGGTAGTTTAAGATATTTTGGTTATTCTGTTAATTTTAATTAAATCCGTAGTCACTTAGGTAGGATTTATTTTCCGTCTGATCGAAGTAGGTCGATAATTAGGTATTATTGTGCTGACATCACTGACCGATTTCAATTTCCCATGGTTACAATAATAAATTGATGTTTTTTTTTTTTTTTTCTTAGTCATTATAGTTTATTTAGTGATGATGATTGTAATCTGGGTGTTTTTTAAAATAAATTTCATTTCAAAATATCGGTTGTTTGGTATCAAATTATGCGTAATAAATTACTCCTTCCAGCTATGCTAATGAGCCACGCTAGTTCCATTTGAAAAAAATGAGTTTAGGCCAATAATACCATTTAAATTTTTTTAAATGTTCCTGTACACACTTTTCAGAATGCAAAAACGATCTAGTACATTGTTTCCCGGCTATTTGATCCAAAATGTCGCCTAATTCATTGCCATCTGGATTCAAAATTGAAAATTTAAATTATTTTGAGTTAAGGTGTCAAAAAGTGACAAATGAAGTTTCATTGAACGCAGAATGTAATTTTTTATCAGAATAGGTGAGAATATATCGGATGTCCCATTCAAAATAAAAAATTTAGGGTAGTTTCCGGTCAAATCGGAAGTAACAGAAATTAGTTGAATATGTCAAAAAATGCATATTTTTGTAAAATATTTATGCACAGAATTTTATTGGTTTTTCCTAAAGGGGGTGTGACCCAGAAATAAAAGTTTTAGAAAAAAAATCTAAGAACAAATTTTCAAACCGCACTAGGCTTCTACCAACCGTTGCGAAAATACCTTGGTATAACTTTCCCATTCCAGTACTGTGACGTGATATGCACCAACTGAGTCCGCCGGCCGGCGCTGGGCGCGCCTTTGCTTATGCTGCGTCATATATTATCGGGGATAATACCACGAGAGCTTCAAAATTACCGATAATTTTTCACGATTGCGTGTTTTCTATAATTTCACGAGTCCGTAGGACGAGTGAAATTTGCAGAGAAAACACGCATAAGTGAAAAATTAACTGGTTCATTTTAAAGCTCAAGTGGTATTTAGAGGATTATTTCACGTATGAGAATGCAAAAAATATGGAAATAAATATGTATTAAACGATTTGAACATCTTAACAATCAATACAAATAAATGGTTGCTATCAGGAACCGTTTGTTTGTATCAAAAATTAGCATGACAACCATGTATACAATAACATGGGAGAATTATCGCTGTAATTCTCTCTAGTTAAACAAATGGAAGAGAGAATTTTCGCTGTTATTCTGAAAATTGTCACTTGTCTTATGGGATTTTTAACACATGAGTGGAATAATCGACATTATCGTATTGTTTTTGCGTTCTCCATTTCGCTGCGTCAGTTTGAATAGGTTTTGTGATTTTTGCGTGTGTTTATGATGTCACGCGATGACTAGAGAAAACTTTATTTAGGCGTATCTACATAATTATTTTGGGCAGCGATGCGAGATTTTTATAAGAGTTCTTGGAATCTTTTTCTTTATTTTCTGAAGGCAAGTTGTATTTTAGGGTCACACCCCCTTTTAAAAACAAAAAAGTTATAGGGGCTAGCCACTTTCTTGGGACACCCGTTATAATGGTGGTTGATTTTGATACAGCTCAACTGAAGCAGTAACAGCTTTTTTCCTCCGAATAAAACGTCCTTTTTTTGAACTTGTACAACAGCTCCTCATATTGCTTATAAAAATTTAATAACAAGGCTTAACTGTGGAACCTCACACACCAACCCTGGAACACCAATTGCCCAGGGGTATTAACACCTAATAAGTCCCCTGGTACATTGATAATTTTATTCCCTGCCGAATTAACTGTATTTTATGCATTTTTATGAAGGGATAAACCATAAACCTAAATTTCTTTTTTTTTCTGAAAGTTGTAGATCCAAGGAAAAAGCGGGAGTTATGAAATCCTTAACTCCTGCGCGGGAGTTAAGACCCTGTTTATGATTATCGCAACCAAGGTATTATATGGCGTTACAAATGAACTACTTATTTGTAATTTAGAGCAAGAGAACCTATATAAGGTCAAAAAACTAAAGAAAACGTGTAGCCCCTCTATGTGCAAATGAAACCACCCAAATTCCAACAAACAATAATTTTATTTAATACTAGCTGACCCGCAGGCTTATTCTCTACGAACTGCAACTACATAGCAACCAGCAACCGGTTGCAAGTTTGCATTTTTTGAATAGAAAACTCGCGTTTGACAGCGACTGGACAGCGACAATTGTGCAATTCTCTCGATCGCAAGTTACAGAATAAGGCTGCCGGCGAACTTCGTACCGCCTCTGAATTATTAAATACCTATTAAATGTTGTGTTAACGTATCTATTAGCTGAATTAAATTCAGTTTTTTTCGATGGTGAATTTGGCTTTGGTTGAAGAATATTAATGTTTATTTGCAACCATATATGTAATCCTGACGTTACTGACTTACTGAAAATTTGGAAGTGTCACTTTACCTCTGTCACTTCCCTCTTCGATTTCCCTCACCGATTTCCCTATTCGACTTCCCTCACCGATTTCCCTCACTGTAACTTATCTACCTTTGCTGGTCACAATAAGAACATGTTAGGTAAAAACGTCAAAACAGTGAATGACACATTTTGGCATGTTAGTTTTATTTCTTTAAATCACAAAAATTAAATGACTAATCATAATTAATGGTGTGCTTGCAAATAAAATAGTATACAAACCTCGGAGGAAGGTTTTCATTTCTGGGCAGTGTGAATAAAAAATAAGTTTTTACTTGAAGAATTAAGTTATAGCATAAGTACAATCTTATTAGATTCAGCTATAAGTTTAAGTACATTCTGAAAAATTTGTGAATAATATTTTGCTTATACTTATAAGTGTATATTAAAAAATTTAAGTTTGAACTAACAACAGTAAACACATCATGGTTTTCTATCCATTTGTTTTATTATTTTTTTTAAACATCTTTAGTGAATAAATAATTTTTTATTGAAATAATTCCAAAAAAATTTTGTAAAAAGTGGCCGTATTCAATATTTTTGTCAAGAGAGATTTAAAAAAAAAGATTCAAAATATGAAAAACGAATTGAAGAAGAAAACAGATATAAAAGCAACTGGAAATAAAAAAATTATTTTGAAAGATTGGGAAGAAAAATTGCTGGACATTATAGATAAAGATGACAAAAGCCCAATATTGCATAAAATTCCTGGAGTGGCAACAACGGGATTGAAGCCATTGGAAAATATAGAAATGCAAAAACCAGCGGAAACAAGGCACGTTTTAGTTAGACCTCCTCCTTGCTCTAATATTACACCATCAAAACCAAAAAAAAATAAGCTGGAAGGGAAAGAAACAGATGAGACTGCAAACTTATGCACAGCAGATCTACAAAGATTGGTTCTTCTTGAGCAATTAAAACTTACGCGTATGCAGATCGGGCGAGAACAACTTTTATTGAACAAGCTACGTCAAGTCTATACGAAACCCAAGGTCCCGAAAGCCAAGATCCTGAAAGCCAAGGTCCTGGAAGCCAAGATCCCGAAACTTCAACGTACAGTTTAGCTTTAGATAAAATATATACAATGTTATAAATTCTGAAACATGATATATTTTTTAGACACACCCTGTATATTTTTATTTGTTTCAACAGTTTTTGAATATCATAATTTTGATTTGATAATTATAACAATTTATATAATTAAATGTTTAGTTGGTTAATTAAATTTTTGATTTCTTCTCTCCGTTGGATTCCCCTTCTCCTAAGATTTTCATCGTCATTTTCCAAATTGTATCCCTCTTCTTCTTCGTCATTCATAACATCTTCTTCTTCATCGACAGGAAGTGGATCATTCAAATACTTTGATATACAGGGTGTCCCAGCCGAGAGTGACCCATTTTAAATGCTTATAACTTTTAAACCAGGTGAGCTAGCTACCTGCGGTTTGTGCCATTCGATTTCTTTTGGTCTAAAGTTTTTTCCAGTAGTTTTCAAATTTTTTTGAAACTTATACAGGGCGAGTAAAAAAAAATCCGTTTTTCGACATCGAAATTCTCCACTATTTCTAATGAAACACCCTGTATATCACAACGTCAAAAAAAAGATTAATGTTTAAGGTTTCCATGTACCAATAGACATTGTCCCTAAAACTTGAAGTATTAGCCGAAAAAAAATCAAAATCGAAATCTTGATATTTTCGCAAACGCATGCAACTTCATGTTGTAGGAACTTGATATCACTATGGCAAACAATTTTGTAACTGTCTAGTTAGATATCAATTAAGTTGAGATACATTTTCCACAATTTAACGAGTTCCAAAGTATTTTCTCTGGAACTCATTAAATAGAGATATCCCAACAGTAGTTTGGTGTGCAATCTCTATTGAGAAAAAAATCAGAACATTTTCATTGATGAACTAACAATAACAGAAACTGTATACACTGATATGTTCTTTTTCCCATAGTTGAGACAGGGGGTTATCTTAAATGATATCTATTTTCATGCCCCCACCTCATTATTCATTAATAGCAAGGGAATCACCTGATATGACATTTGGGGAAAGACGGATAAGGTGAGCTGGCCGCTGGCCTATAGAATGGACACCTTACTGTCTTAACTTGAGATTTCTAGACTCTTTTCTCTGGCGTTATGTCAAGGAAAGATGCGGCAATACTTTGCTATAATAGCCTGAAAGATCATGTCATTGAAGCGATACTCCAGGAAATGTTACACAATTCATTCAACCATTTATTGATCCACAAATGCCTGGAACAGAATGGCTAACATATACATATAGGTACCTACAGCTTTTTGTATAGTTTTATGCAGTTGTTATTAACTTTTTATTAGGCAAACATAAGGTTGAAGCTTTGAAAATAGGTGTTTGCAAAAATACCAAGATTTCGAATTTGATTTTTCACGGCTAAAACTTCAAGTTTTAGGGACGATGTCTATTGGTACATGGATACCTTAAACATGAATCTATTTTCTGACGGTGCGATATACAAGGCGTTCCATTGAAAATAGTGGAGAATTTCGGTGTTGAAAAACGGATTTTTTTTACTCGCCCTGTACAAGTTTTAAAAAAATTTGAAACCTACTAGAAAAAAACTTTCGACCAAGAGAAATCGAATGGCACAAACCGCAGGAAGCTAGCTCACCTGGTTTAAAAGTTATAAGCCTTTAAAATGGGTCACTCTCGGCTGGGACACCCTGTATTATGAAGTATAGCAAAACTAATAATAACAGATGCAACTCTGTCTAGTTTTACCCTAACCATATATTGCAAAATTGGAAACCTTCTTTTCAGTTGGCCGAAGCACCTTTCGATGATGACTCTTTTTTTCGTGAAGAGCGTGTTAAACGCAATTTCTTCATGAGTTTCGGGATTTCTGTATGGCGTCATCAGCCAACGACTGATTCCATAACCAGAATCACCTAATAACACCATATTATTATGCCGGATATTATTCATTCGGACATAAAGTGCAGAGTTCTTTAGTATTCTACTGTCGTGTACTGGCCCAGGCCACTGAGCGTCTATGGAAGTGAATTCTTCTTTTGCATTACATATTGCCTGTACATTTATGCTAAAGTAACCTTTTCTGTTATAGTATTCGTCTCCATGCTCAGATGGTTCCGAAGTTCTTATATGTGTACAATCTATAGCACCAAATGCACAAGGAAACTGATACTTAGCACTCCACTCTTGTTGTGCTTCTTCAATGTTATTTAAAGGAAAACGTAACCAAATAGGTGATTTTTGAATTATTTTAGTCAAAACAAATTTCACAGTTTTACGATGAACGCCTTCATCTTTTCCAACTCCAATTTGGAATCCAGGATCACTTAAAAATCGAAGAAATATCTGCATTTTTTGTCTGGAATTTAATGCTCCTCCCCTTGTTTCTCCAGTGTCTTCGAGGAAATGTTCTGCTAACCACTCAACATTAATTCTAGAAAATCGATATAAATTATGATAGTCCTCATCCCGACACTCAGTTCGTTGGGAATAATATTTTCGACGTCTGATGTTCATTAATTGAGCCATTTTTAAACGTGTTCGATTGAAGTTCTACACAAGACTTGATTTTTAAGCTGCACATGAGCTGGCTTGAAAAATTAAAGTTATTACTTGAAAATTGTAGTAAATGCTGTATTTTATTCACATCTAAATTAGCTTCTACTACGAAAAAACAGAACATACTTAAAGCAAACAGAATTAACTTATAAGTTTGAGCTAAAACTTATTATTATTCACAAAAATGTTAGCTTTTGCTACAAAAATAGTATATTATATACCTAGGTAGACAAGTTGGTCATTATATACCGAAAGCTTTTATAAACCAAGGCGCGCAGCGCCGAGGTTTATAATGCTTGAGGTATATAATGACTTTCTCTACCGAGGAATATATAGAATTTTTTTTACTACTGCTAGTAGAAAATAAAAAATTTGTTTAAAATCTGTGCTCTAATTATTTTTTGTGAACGCCCTCTTGACAGTGCTGCCCTCTATCAACAGCTTATATAACTAACCTATGTACCTACAGAAACCTGTATTTTTTTTCAAATTGACGTATGAAATTGAAATTGAACCAATAGAAACATGACAATATCCTTGCGTCATGACGTCATTTTCATTATTGACCTAGGTATTTTTTCATTATTTTCATTATTAACCTAGGGAGAGAAATTCAATTTTTTCTCAGAAAAATAGATTGAATAATGTCTATTTCTCAGGTTAGTAGTGAAAAAAGGTAGTTTAAGTTCATACTACAATTTTATTCACAATGCCCTCTGTAATAAAACACTTCCCTACTCGGTATGTAATATACTATTACTCTCTAGATCAGAAGTTACCTAAAATTAAAATTTTACATCATCCCTTTCAAGACAGCTTGTGGGCATTTTTCTTGTAAAGTGTACACCAAATAAATAAACTCAGGCACAGGAATGTTCAAAGAATGTGAAGAAAACAGAAAAAAATCTACAGCGCAGCCCTGTATCAATCTATCTGCACTGCATTATTCCATCTGTTCTACTCTATCTGCACTATTCTATCTGATCTACTCTTTCTGCACCACTCTATCTGATCAGAATAGTGGAATAGTTCTGTTCTAAATATCTCCAGTTCCTGAGCAGCATGGTTCTACTGCATCTGCAATGAAATTACCGCGCATCGGTGAGCTTCGTTCTAGGTATCATATATGGCGCCTTATACAAAATGGTTGTGGCGGACTCATAACCTGGCTCTCTGCCACTCGACACCAGCCGGACAGAGCACTCCGAACAGTCGGCACGGAACACGGCTGTCAAGGGATGCCTGAGAGGAGAAACGGAAGTTAGCCACAGAACGTCAATGGTCAAGCGTCAAGAAATGACAGGAAGACCAGTTCGTGCTCTTTCGGAATGAACCAACAACAAAATAAAATACACAATTGAAACATTGTAATTCTATTTATTTTTGGACATTTTTATTGTGAAGAACAATTGAAAGTAAAGTGCTTTCCTTAAATTGTTTATGTGGAAAGTGTGTGACAATAAAATCCACATGGTTTGCAATGAAAATGTGACGGTAAACTTGGTATCGGTTATAAGAGATGGCGCCGTATGCGGACTTATTAATTTTTTTTTCATAAATAAGTAAAAAAGGTAATTTTTTTGTTTTGTTTTTTTTTTGGATTTTTTCGATTTATTATGTTAGGATAGACAAAGACAAATCCAATAAAGCAAAAATCATAAAAAACAGTCCAGCCGTTCTCGAGTTATAAGTGCTTCCACAAAACACAACTGTGTTTTATATATATAGATTTGTAAATGCAAGTAGCAAGTTACTTTTTTTTAAAAATTTGAAAGTTAACAGTTTGGTTTTTCTGGTGACACTGATACGTTTTTGTACCTTTTCCAGTCCGGACCTCTTCAAGCTATTCCCTATATCGAGGAAAGAGGATAGATTGCTAGTATGACGTCACTTCAGCTGATCCAGACTCCAAATAGTGATCTTTTGAGTCGAATAGGTACCCAGAAAAGAATAAAGCAGTATCAGTTTCACCAAGATTTGGAATATTAAATTCCCGAATCATGTCAAAAAGCGAGTGTCTTGCAAAGAAGATTTAAATTGAAATTAGTAATAAAATTATTATTCAATTGCAGACACTACCCTTCAACAGAATCAGGTATTACTAAGTAAATTATTGCAATGTGGAAAATTTTATATTTTTATAGAATAACAATTAAATAACTTAAAAAAAAGAACATATATTTATAAAATAAAGTGACAATAATTAAGTAGGTAAGTAAGTATAGCAAGATTGAAAAAAGATACTCGTTAATATTGAGCAGAATGTTACTTCTCATGCAGTGGCGCTGAAAAGGCAAAAATTTAAAAAATGTAGGAAAAATTGAACAAGATAAAAAAAACTCTGGATTTTCCTCAAGTAGATAAATTTTCCTTTTAAGTTAAGGTACCTACCTACTATTGGTACTACAAGATTAAGCTAAGGGTGAAATAAATTAAATCCAAATACTGTAAAAATTCTTGAGATGTTTTCAAATGAATTTTACC